TTTTTTTTTTAAATGAAGTTCTTCCATTCCATAAATTGTTTGATTAGATTCCCTTAGTATTCTTATGTTCCTGTGGCTGTTCTCTGAGATGGTGTTTACGACCAGGCTAATTTGTTTTACAGTAGACTAATATCCCTGTGTCGTTAATCTGATTTTTCTCAATTCACATAGTTGCTTAACAGTGGATTTAGAGATCAGTTTGAGTCATTTCAGTAAACGCATGATCATCTTTACCCGTATTAAATTTTGTTTGAATAAGGGCAAGTTAAATCACACTAGTAGTGCTTACAAAMCTGTCTCAGCCTATACTAGCTGAATTTCCAGGGAGAAAACAATGCTGACAACTCTGTCTGAAAGTTCAGAGGTGCCAGAATATTTAGTTTTCTCTTACTGTATCTAATAGCACAGGCAATAGGAGGAAATGAATAAATGAATGAGAGAAAGGCTGAAAGAAATAAGGTAGAAACAAGAGAAGTAAAATATTTGATGTGAGAAAATGGGACATAAAAGTTGAAGTAAATAAGCTGAGAAAAGAGAAATAAAGCCTAAGGAACAGGGATATCTAGATTTATGTCTTATGCTGAATTCTGGCATAGGGAAGATAAATTTTTTTGTGGAAGACAGTAGTTTATCATTTATCATGCTGTGTTTTTTGGTTTTTTTCTGTTTTTTTTTTAATTGTGAGACATTATGAAGAAAAAGAGAACTTCTTACAGTCTTTCAGTGCCATCAAATATTGTGTTTTGTGATATGACATCTGTGTTGAGTAGTCTGATTTGAAAAGGTGGTGTATAACTCTGGTCTGTGCATTACCATTGTGATTTGGATGATTTAAACTTCTCTGGAGAAAATCTCTGTGTTGTCCCCCCCTTTACCACTTACTTGCTCAGTGTTTGAACGACATTACTTTGTCAGAAAACTAGTCTGTGGGTTCTGCTGCAGGTGCAAAGTGCTCTTCTGTTTCTACTGGGAACATACAGTTCTGCATCAATCATGAAATTCCTGGAAAAATTTGAATGGTCCATATGATAGTAATGTTTGCTTCTGGAGACAAGATGAAATCTAATCCAAAATAAACYCTCTTGAACAGCTAGCATAGGAGTGTCAGCACCAGCTGCTTTGATCTACTGATCYGTTTCTACGGTTTCAGATTGCTTTCTAATGGGGAAGGGACAGAGCCAAAATTGTTCACTTTGGTTGTAGGTCAGTAGATGAGGGCAGTGAACATTTAAGATAAGTATCTATGCTACAAATGCAGCTATAAGTTAAGGTAGTACTTTTTGTTTTTATATAGGTGCTATATATATGTATATACTGGCTATATATGCTATATATATTTATATAGCACCTATATATATTGAGATATTTCAAAGTGCTGGGAACATTTTTTTGTAGTTTTTGTTAATATAAAGTGTCAGTGAAACACGTAAGTACTGTAAATGACAGTGGTCCAAAAAACGACAGTTACTAAATGACAGTTATGTACTATAAATGACAGTTACTAAATTGTAACTGCCTTTTGGAATTCTGATCAATTACTTTGGGATTTTTTCCATGCTTATATTTTTAAATTGTTAAACAGAGGAGTCTTCTGCTTTCTATTATTTTTATAATTTTTTTGTATAGAATTCTAAAGATTGTATTCTTCCCATCCCAAATGTTTTGTTGGAGCTGCTCATCTGCATTGAAAAAAAAAACACCCCGGGACCACTGTTTTATGGCAGTCATTAAGTAAGAGGAAGATGAAAAATGTGGTGAGGTCTTGACAGGTGTTTGCTGTTATTACTCTTCTGTGCCTTGAGGTGTCATGAATCATGACAAASTTTTAACCTGGAATGAATTCCTCAGTTGCTAGGGTTTTGAAAATCTAAGTAATATTTAGTTGCTCGTGTTAAATCATTTTGTCTTGAAGTAACATTAGAAAAAGTACTCTCCATCTGCCCTGTCTAATTTTAAGTTCAGAGATTCCCAAGAATTTTGTATGCTTAATGGTAGTATAACATCCTACATACCTAAGCCAGTGATTCAGACTAAATTCAGTTATGTTTCCTGTTTATTAGATCTTTGCAGAATCTAGACCTTGGCTTTCAACATTTTTTCCAGAAAGTTTCCAAAATTCAATTAAGATTTTTGTTGTTAGGGACATTTTAACCTTCAGCCTTTTAATATAATCATTTAAACCCACCAAAACCATTAAGGTTGTAGCAGGACAAGTAGCAGTGGCATTTTGGAACTGTTTGAAAAAAAATAATTTGCTTTAATAAAAACAAGTTATTTGCACTATTATTTAATTTGTTCAAAATTGAGATACAAGCCTCAATTTAAAATGAAGAAAAATGTTGAGAGTCAGAATGTGAGAGTTGCTAGTCAGTAAGTTATGAAGATTCCTTATTATTTTAAGTAATCTTGTCTTAAGAATATTGCACTGTTATGTTGAAGTGCTCAATTTGTGTATTTTTTAATTAGTTTGGTACAAGCAAACTGCTCCAAGCTTTAATGTGTACTAAAATACAATACAGCTGTTTTCATTAGCCTGTTGGCATATTGTCTGAATTCACTTACAATTTCAGGATTGCCTGCAAATATTGATAGCTTTTTGTATTCCTTTCCTTAGTACTGTGTTTATTAGACCACTAGCAAACTCCTAGCTCCTTGAAACCATTCTTACAACATGGTGAGAAGCAAATGAAAGAAAGCCTGATTGTAGTTTTGGGTTTTGATAACTGATACATTAATTGTAAATTGAAATCGCTATAATGCTTTTATAAATAACTGCTTAGTGTTGCTTCTTGTTAATAAAGTGGGAAAAGAGCCTGTGAGGGAGAACCAGTGAAGGGGCCTTGGTCCCAGCAGTGAAAGGCTCTGATGGTGGGAATGACTGCCAGTGTGGCTCCTGGACGGTCAGACAAGGAACTGTTCTTAAAAGTGAGATCTCAGGAGTGCAGAAAGGACTCTGGGAGGCAGGAAATAATCACTCAGAGACCTATGTCTTGGTGCATAGAACTTACGTGGTCTGATCATTCTGTGAAAGAAAAACATGAGGATTGTAAAACAGAAAAATTTAAGAACTGAGGAAGAGAGTTTAAAGTTAATGCAAATGTAACGTGGAGTCGTAAGTAATTGGTATGATTTTGTGTTGAATGATACAGGTGGTAAAAAGGACTAGTAGTTGTCACAGAAATAACTTTGAGGACTCACTTGAAACTTGGTAGGGTTTATATGGGGTATCAGGACAGAATCTAAATTTGCAAAAAAAACCAAAAAGGAGCTGAATTTTTGACCTTTCCCCCCGCCTTAATCTAATCTTGAAAATTTTATATTAAATTTTGTAGCAGCAAAGTTTAAAACAGCTTGGTGTAGCGTTTCCTGTTGTGTTTTGTCTTTCAGTCAATATCATGATCTTAAAATATTTGAAAGAATGGGAGATACATGACAGAATATTTCTTATGAGCATTGAATTAGTCTGCAAGGTACTGAAATCCTTCTTTATATAAGTTCCCAGTGCCTGAAGAGTAATATCATGATAATTTATGAACTTAATTTGCAATTAAATTGACTGGACCAAACATTTTAAAGATACTTCTGATATATGGGAACAAGGAATTTGTTGTATGTCTTGTGCTGTTTCTCTGGTGACCCTCAGAAGGTGATTTCAGTAGGTTTTCTGCACTTGATTGGCASAAGCTCTGAAAGTTTCAAAGGAGGAGTGCATGCTACTACTGCTCAGGRGAATGAAGAAAAAGTGAGAAAATTTGTAATCCATATAAATGGATAATGTTTTAGGAAGACAATGCTAAAAAATGTTAAATGTTACAGTATCACTTCAAACTATAATTTTTCTTTGATCTTTGTTTCTTGATCATTCAGAAATTCAGTTGTGTTCAGTGCTCTAATGTTTGAATTAAGATACTCTTCCTTTATTTCCATGTAAGAGCATATACAGAAAGATTACAGTAAAATTAAATTAAATTTGGAGTTGATTTTATATGCTTTTCCCCATTGTTGTGTTGCTGTTTCTGCTTAGTTCATGCAGCACTCTSTCTTTTGTTACAATAATTTTTTTGTTACAATAATTTTGTACCATTGTTCCTACCTGAACAAGTCCAATGACTGACTAAATGATGGCTGATTCTATTTCCTTTGGATTGTTACTCATRGCAGGGTGGCAGAAGGATACTTGGCATCTACACCCAAAGTGGTTACAARTGGGTTTGCAAAAGTTTCTAGGGACAAGAAAAGTAAACTTCTTTTGTCTYAGTTTTATTCATTCTTTACCAAGACAAAAGTTGAAATATTTCCTCTCTGTATCAACTGCAGAATTCTTCTGGTTGGTTGTTGGTTTGGGGTTTTTTTTTTTCCCCTTTCCCTGTTAAGGCACTTCTTGCCTTTGTCATATGAAATACTTGTCTTCTGTCTCAGGTCTTGTAATTGATGTAATATTGATGTAATTCCAGTTATGCCTAGACTTCTGCTGAAAGTTCTGCCAGAAGAGTAACTCTAGYGTTTTCTTTAGTGAGATTAAGGCTTGGAATTCTGTAAGTATAGTGTTGAGTTTTTATTTACAGTACAAACTTGTTTTTTCAATGACAGGTAGTTGTATTGAGGTATAAACTGAAGGATCTGACAGATCCTAGAATGATAGAAAATTTAATTCTTCGTTAAGGCTTGTTAACCGTATGAATATAACAGTAAGCATGCTAATGCAGAAGTGTGTTTTCCACATTTTTTTTTTTTGATAGAATGATAGAA